TCCCCGTCCTTCCCCTTCCCCCGTCCCTCCCCCTCCTCCCTCCCCCTTCCCTTTCTTCCCCCCTCTTACCCCGCTTTTCTTCTCCCCCCCCTCTTCTCCTCCTCTTCTCCCCCTCTCCCCCTCTTCCTCTCCTAGTCCTTTCCCTTCCATCCTCGCTTTCCTCTCTCTCCCTCCCTCTTTCTTTGCCATTCGTCTCTAGCCCAGCAGATTCTGACGATCTTTCCGTAGGTCAAGAAGGAGAAGGAGAAGGCGGCGGCGCGCGCCATGGAGGAGGCGGAAGACTTTGCAGGGGTTGAGATGTCCGACGACGATGACGACGACGATGACATGGAGGACGAGGGGATGGGAGAGGCGGCAAGCCTTGAGGTGAAGATCGCGTGCTTGTGATGGTATCTTGACCGTTGAGCGGGGCAGGGAGGAAGCGACGCAGAGAGCGAGGAGGAGAGTGAAGGGGGGATGATGATGGGAGGAGACGGCGAGGAGGACATGGAGAGCGAGGGAGGGTACAGCGACATGGACTTTGACGATGAGGAGGACGAGAAGCAGACCAAGACGAAGAGCCGAGGGGATGCAGAGCAGGCGATGATGCGGGAGATCGAAGCTGATCTTCACTCGGACGACTCAGGTGGGAGAGGAGGAGACGATGAGGAGGGGTATGACTAGGGATGCAGATATCGAGCACAACAATGCACTCCTGTCCGGCAGAGTGAAGAACGAGAAGTTCTTTGAGATGGACGATGACGACGACGAGGAGGAGGAGGAGCAGGCAGAGGAGGCAGAGGAGGAAGAGGAGGCAGGAAGCCGGCAGAAAAAGAAGCCGAAGGTGGTGGTGAGAAACTTTATAGAGGGTTGAGCGACAGTCTTACCTTTGCTGTTCTTCCCCCGCAGAAAAAATCTCCTTTTGCATCTGCAGACGACTATGCTGATGCCCTGAGTAAGCTCTGCCGCCCTCATGTCTTCCGTTCTCTCGTCTCCTCCTCCCCCTTCTCCATCTCCCTTCTCCATCTCCCTCCTCCTGCTCCTGCTCCTGCTCCTGCTCCTCCTCCTCTTGCTCGTCCTTTTCATCTTTCTCATCCTTCTCATCTGTGCCATCGCTGCTTACATTGATCGCAGATGCTTCCGAAGAGTTTCATCTCCCAAGTCGTCACGTGGGTCTCTGTGCTGAACCATGTCACGCTGACGACCATGCGCAGGAGGCCAAGGGACCTCGGAAGTTTGAAGGTGCGAGACTGTGCGAGACATCTCGAGTATTTCTCATGTTTTACAGCAGCAGGGAAAAAGCCCAGGGACGACGGAGGGAGGGGAAAGAGGCGGCCGGGGAAGAGGAGATGAGGAGAAACGAAGCCAATAACTTGCGCCAATGAAAGATCTCATTCGCACTTGTCTCTCGCAGAAGCACTTGACGCTTCGAGACAGAATTTTCCACATGATATCACAACAAGACAAAGGCTGGAGGGTTGACTGGGAAAAGAATAGGTTTCATTCATTCTTCACTTTCTTTCTTCTGGTTTCCTTTGATGATCGAGCTCCAAAAATCAATCCGAAGACAAGCTGCCAGCACATCAGTCACAAGAACCTCAAAAGTGAGAGGGAAAACCCACCTGGATGAACTTGTGTAGAATCCAAAGAAAACTGCTGGCCACATACAAAATGCATCGGATGAAAATATTGCGATGGACTTCCACTTGAGTCCCACTCGTCGTCTCCTCGCTCGACTCTTCTTCCTCCGTCTCATCCCCTGAGTCTGACGGTTTCCGCTTGCGAATGTTCCTCGGAGACAGAATCAGAGCGCTGAGGCTCCTCCGATCCTTCACTTTCTGCAGCAGCACCAACCATCAACCCGCCTCCCTCTCGCCTCACATGATGCTTACAACTTCGCAATCAGACCCTGTTGAGCGCCTCCTGCTCACACTAGACTTGTCCGACTGCACACACAGAGCGTCGGCCAACGTGACATCACCGGCAACCTCCTCCTCACCTTCTCCTCCAACGTCCTCGCCCTTCGCGACCAGGATGGGCCCAACTGCGTTTTTCCCTTCAGCTCTCGTCATGGTCGACAACCCTTGCAGACCTGCCGCCAACAGCTCGAGATGACAAGCACGCTGCACATCATCCATTGCAAGAAGCTGCTGATCTGACTCAAGCCGATCGCATCTGTAAACAACACCGAGCCCACAAGTGCACACGCCAACACCTGGACATCGCTACGTGAGGTGAGAGCCACAAACATCCTTGCAGACCTTCCAGAGGTACGTCTTCTCGAACGAGAGCATGATAGAACTTCCGATCAACGCACACGCTATCCCGACTCCGATCAAAACCTGGTGGTCCCATGGGTCAGCAATGGCAAGGGAGAGGGAGAGAGGCTTGCGAGTACTTGGATGGGAAGATCGTTGAGGTAGGGTGTGCCAACAAAAATGGCGATGAAACTCAACAACCCCAGCAGGAGTCCGAAGAGCCACACAACTACATGCCGCTGAAGGTATGCAAGGAGGACAAACAGAGCAGAAGCAACGATGGCCGTCAACGTCGATGAGATCCTGCTCCCATCGTAAGTCAACAAAGCACGAACTGACGAGTCGGGATACCCAAGCTCGTTCTCAAGATATGGCACCACTGGCTGGATAGCAGCGTATCCCACAAGAACAGCAGGAAGATAGAACAGCAGCGGATTGTACAGCGATCTCCTGCATGTCGCTCAGGTTGGAATGCGATGCATAAGACATTCTACCCCAGAGTCAACAATGCGAGTCCGAGCGACAAGCCGAGCGGACGGACGATCGTCTGTTGCCTGATGCCCCATTTCTCCCCGTCTTCGTTGCTGCCAATCCCACGCAAAGCAAAGGCGGCTACATGTTCTGGCAGCTGCCGGGACATCACAATGGCATACGCCAGGGTGTTGCCTGGATGAATAATTGTCACTCAGAGCTCTGCCCAGCAGGTGGCATGTACATGACACTGAAACGGCAGCTTTGCAGACGTGAGTCCATGGACCCGTCGCGTCCTCACAAGGTAACTTGTCTACCAAGTCGTCACAAATATCTGTCTGCAGTGCGGATAGTCAAATATTCAACGGATGCATGAAGCATCGATTACCCGAAGCTTCCTCTCATAAGCCTCATATGGAGCAATCGAAGCAGATGCAGTCAGAAGCGCAAGCGCAATCAGGTAAATCGGGAGTGTTTCCTTCATGTTGGCCTCACAGGCCTTCAGCCGCCAGTGCTCCTTTGAAGTTCCCTTGCTGTGTAAGCAAATCCGCCGTTTCCCGAGAACAGTATGATCAGCTCATGAACTTGATTCTAAAGTTGGACATGTTCTCTACTGCCAGGCCAAGGAGAAGAAGCAACCTGCTCACGACAAATCAAAAACAAGATTCGCAAGTACCTATGCGCCATCGTCACACTGCACCCAAGCAAAGTTCATACACTTAAACTATTCTACACTTCCAATCTACAAACGAGTATAAGTTGTGATCTATCTCCATCTGTCTTTCATCCTCTGCCCATCTCTTGCTGATCGACATTATTCAAACGCTCTGCCTTCGCCATCCATGGCCCGCCACAGGCGCTGAGGGAAATTTTCGGAGGCGGGTGGATGGATGGAAATGGATGAGTGACACGTGTGTAAACTACAAGATGGCAGTGAAAAATTATTATTGAAAAACGAATAATTCCAAAATTTGGTAATATATATATGAAATTGTGAAAACTAATCATCGCCTTCGATAATTTGAAGGGCTTTGTCGGGTGGCTGGTCGTTCTCAGGTATGGGGGTTCGTGGAGTGAGGAGTACAGGGGTGGGGTTACATCCATCAGGGGTACAAGAACCCTACATTTCAAATTCTAATCCAAGGATACGGTTATTCAAATTGGTACCGGTGGTTAGAAGTGAATCTCTCTACAAATAGTACCCTTCAAATTGACCTGCAACTGCTCACCGGAATGGATGTACAGGGTAGGGTAAACAAGGTAGATGTTGGGGTGGGTACATGATCAAAAATGGGGGGTCCATATCAAATTAGACGCACCCTACCCGTGTAGTCCCTCTGATGACGGCTTGCCTCGGATTCCGAAGTTCTCAGTAAATCAGCCTGTCACCGTGAACCGGGGCCGCGTCCGACTCAGCCGGCGACTCAGCCGGACGGTCCGAGCGGAGCTTCGGAGTCACGCGGCCGCAGTCGCGGCGGCGGCGACTCCCGGCGGCCCGGCCCGGCCCGAGCCTCCGTGAGCCTCCGGGACGCAGCCCGGCCGGTCCTGACGAGTTGAGTCCGCATCGAAGTTCCGCCGGGAATTCAATTTAGACTTACTCGGAACGACTCATAAGTCGAGATTTCCAGTCACGGAACTCTCTCCTTACACGAAGTAGACACGGTGATGAAGTATCTATAGTCACATGATACTTGATGATCACTGGAGGTGGCCGCGCAGCGGAGGCTGGAATAATACTACCAGGATTTAGCCCGAGAAGTAACAGACTCCCGAGGTGATAGGAGATTGGTACAGATGTATGACGGTACAGATGTACAAGCTTGTTTACTTCAAACAACCCAGTCTCACAGAGACCCTTCACCTCATTCTCCTTTCCCTTTCCTGCCGCTGAAACATAGGCTTGACATGACGAGGTCTTCGATTCCGAAGTTCTCATCCAACGCTTCGAGGGCCTGTCGAGTTGACACTCAGTCTCGTGTCTTCATCGTAGGGCCGACAGGCTTCTGAAGAATAGTCATGATAGTACTGTCTTCTCTGATCGAACCCCTTGTCCTTTCATATCCATGACTGGCAGGGGTGATACTTCCAACTTCCCACTAGCCGTTATTCCTGTCACTTGCTGTCCTGTCGTAGACTGACCGGAGTCGGATAGTATGAGCTGACTCGCTTATCACCTCAGTAATGCCATCCATCGGTCCTCTAGGTTCTTGCTGTCAGGCTTCTTCGTGATCCTCCTACGTCGTCCCCGGGGTAGTATTGTAGCTGTTGCTGTCCTTTCCGTGAGCTTGTGCACAGAGCCACATCGACTGCTTGACATGACCTGAGGTGAGGCTTGCTCTGATCAGTTGCCTCAACACCGTACGGGCGGCCCGGCGCCGCAGGGCCAAAGCGACACATCCGATGATCGGACTCGATCCGATCCGACTGGCGGGCCGCACTGCATGCTTCGCGGAAGAATCCGACATTGTACTGAGTCCCGGCCCTGCGGCGCGCAGTCCGATCACTGTGACTTCAACTTCTGAGTCCGCCCGATCCGAGAACTTGATGGGGAGTCCGATTGCCAGTCACGGATTGCGCCGGGCGGTGCCTTCCGTGGCAGCCTTCAGCGCCAAGGGCCGTAGAATGCCCGGCCCGGCCCGAACTTCAAGGCCCTTGCCTTCCGAGTTCTGTCATAGTCTTTTACTCAATGTTCACGGTTAAGTTAGCCTAGTAATTCAGTTTGTCGGGTGACGACTCAAGTCACTGATACACTTGGTACCATGCCGCACTGGCTCTCTGCATGAAACTTTCAAAGTAGCCGCCTGACTGGAACAACCTCCGTTGTGATGTTGTGGTGATGTAGCTGCATAACGGCAAACATCAAACCCAAATCTGATTCCATGATCGATGTGATGTTGAAAAGACAAGCTGTGCATTGCGACGGCGGGGTTCGAATGATTTGCCGAAGTTCCCAACAAAGGCCAAATGTTTCAAATGTTCCGAAGAGGGCAAGCCGGAAAGAATATGAGAGGAAGGAAGAGCACGATGATTGAAGCATCACTGCAATTTGCTCTATAATCATGCGCGCTCGCAACCCAGCTTGATCTTCTTTCTCGTTGACGTGCAGTAGGACAGTCAAATCATTTCTTATACAGACATGCACTGCTCATAATCTCCGGCAGCCCCAATCACTTCTCATTCAAATACAACAACCTGGTATACGTGCAATGATCAAGTCTATGTTGTCTTTCTCCCTTCTCCTCCTCCTTTCCTCCTGCCTGTCTCGCCCCATGTCCTCTCAATCCGATAACTCGTAAGTCGTAACAATGCTTTATTATCTCACTCCCTCCCTCTCTCGTCTATCTACACCTTCGCTTCCTCTGCTCGCCCCTCTCTTGCTGTTGCTCTCCCCCCCGACGTCTCTCGTCAGGGATCTCCTGTCATCTCGCGGTAATCTCGAGCACTCCCGCCCTGCCGACCAGCGCGTCGCTCCTCTCCCTCGCTTCCTGGCGCTTCCGCCTCGCCTCGTGGATGTTGCTCAGGCACTCTGCTCCGTCGCTGCGTACCGTGACCCTCCAGTCTGCCTTGGCTCCCAGGGTCTCCGTGCTGCGGATCTCGGGTCTTCGTCGAGCCGCGCTTGGGTAGGTGCTGAACAAGGATGATCGTCGGGGAGAAGCCGCCCGGGAGAAGCCGTGGTCTATCATGACGATGGAGAAGCTCCTGCAGCTAGGCTGGGGGGGGGCTTGGGTGTGGGAGGAGGTATGGGAGGAATCGTGTTGGGATGGCATGCGGTAGGATCTGTTGCAGGCGTCAAGGGTGCTGTAGAATATGAAGGGGAATCGGGGGGGCGGATATGTTCGCTTTAGGCGACTGGCAAAGGAGGCAGACTCCGAACTTTGGAAGGTCTAGAAGGATCTGCTGAGTCATCCGGGTTTCTTTACTACACCCCGAGGCAGTCACGTGGCTTCCAAAGTTCAGTCTGATAGGTTTCCGGAACTTCGGAAGTCACGAGTGACAGGACTCGGGGAACTCGATGCGGCCCTTACAACAGCCATTGGCCGCAGGTTCGAGGTGCCGGGGCATCACGGCGTCCGGCTATCCGAGTCACCCGAGTCACGTTGCCGTATCTTGGCCTATCTTGGCAGTCACGGGATCCGCGGGGCGGCCCTGCAGGCCGCCGGACGCCCAGCGGCCCAAGGGCCAGTGACCGACGGTACGGTACTGGGCACTGCCGCAGTGGCACGGTGCGGCCGCTGAGCCGGGCTCCGGCGACGCGGCGGCGCCCCGCCCGGCCACGAGTCAGCCTCAGGCGGTACGTAACGGTTGAACGGTACTACTATGTGAACTGTGACTAGCCCCCCACCCACTGTACCCGGCGGCCGGGCGGTGTGACCTTCAAGCGGAAGCAGTACTCAGTAGGCTGAAGTGCTGTGACCACTGGGCCAGGCTGCCTGAGTGTCACCGTGGCACTACGATAACTCAGTGATTTCATGAGTAAAAGACACTGCATTGAATGATGCCTGTCCGGGGTGCCACTGCACTGTCCACTTTTGTACACTGCCGCTGGAGCCTGAGTCTCATCAACAGTTCTGGCCCACGGTCACCGGGCCCCTGAGGGTGGCCGCGAAACACTCAGACAGGCCAGCGCCTCGGAGCCTTGCGAGTAGCTCGACAACTGTTGTTCTAGTTCCTTCTTTTCGCGACGAATTTGCTCAAGCCTCTGTTCTTTCAGTACCTTGAGATTCTCAACAGCTTTCAAGCGCCCAAGTACTGCCTGCCGCCATTCGACTGAGTGAGATTTCAGGCTATGCAGCTGCAGGAGCCGTTGAAAACGGATATCCTGAGTCATAGCACTCTGCGCTTCGTCCACTCTCTGCAATGGCATAATCAATACCCAAGTCAAACGAAAGAGGTTTGACACAACAAGTAGGTACAGACCTGTAGCCGGCGATCGATCTCTTGGATAAGCCTCTCAGGTGGCATGCTAGACCATTCGATTCCTGCAGGTTGCGACCGCATGGCCTCTTCCGCTTCTTCGACAAGGTGATTGAAGGTATCTGCTCGTTCCGTGTCGTTTTCAACCACGACTACAGTGCAGTTCTCCATGCTCTGCTGCGAGATTCCACCGGCGAAGTTGTCATGGGTTTGGCGCTCTTGCAATTCCTTCGTCTGGAATTCCAGGTCACTTTGATGACTCTGATCTTGTCCATTGTCGAATTCTTCACTAGCTGAAGCTACGGATATGCCAGCAAGTAGTGACTTGTAAAGTCGTCGGGCAAGGAAACATCTGAACGCAACCTGGATCGACCGGACTGAAGCGTTGCGACTATGAATTTTTCGTCGAAGTTCACTTTCCTTCAAAGCCATGCAGCGCCTCGTCCAAGTTTGTATAACCAATGCTGCGCAGCTTCTTCGCTTCGCATCACGAGCTCTCATGCTCTCACTCCTTCTTTTAGCAAATTGTTGAACACGCAAGACAGCATCGATCAGGGAGAGAGATCTCTTCTCGGAGTGAGGAAAAGGTTGCATGCCGGACGGCAGAATCTCCCGCGCGAAATCTAGAAAAATCTTACGTCTACAAATGCTCTGCAGAACCTCAGCCGCGGATATCTTTGCAGCATCCGCCTTCCCGTGCATCAACTGACTACTTGCTCCTAAAGTTGGGCCTGCGCCACAAGGATACCTGCTGCCAAGATTGTTTGAAGCTGCGGAGCGAATTCTTAACAGGCCAACCTCGGACAGTTGGCTCCCGCTCTGAGGCCGGTGGCAGGTAACTTCACGTTCAACCGCCCTCTGCCGCAGGATAGCATTGCGCCTGAGCATCCTCCTCTGCTCAGGAGGAATCTTTCGAACGACATGCAACGCTAGCCAATGGTCGCCCTTCGCTTCTACACCAGCCTCATCTGCTTGTCCTTGATCAGACTCTCGTTCTGTCTCTTGCAACCTCTTCCTAAAGCCTGAGCTTCCACGAAGCAGAAACAACTCTTCCATGCTCTCCGTCCCTCCTTGCTGCCCGTCTCGGGGCCGGGGCCTTTTGAAACCTGTCGCCGAAGGTCCTGCCGGAGTGATTTTACTGAGTAGCATCAGGCGACCCGTCTAGAAATTTCGGGAACAGGGTTTTGCCAATTGTGGAGGACAGTCCTTGCCCTCGTGACTTTGTCAGCTTAGCTCAATCCCTCATGATCTGCTGACATTAAAAATGATTTTCCGTCAGCAATTTGCCTTCTAGACCTTCCAAAGTTCGGAGTCTGCCTCCTTTGCCAGTCGCCTAAAGCGAACATATCCGCCCCCCCGATTCCCCTTCATATTCTACAGCACCCTTGACGCCTGCAACAGATCCTACCGCATGCCATCCCAACACGACTCCTCCCATACCTCCTCCCACACCCAAGCTCCCCCCCAGCCTAGCTGCAGGAGCTTCTCCATCGTCATGATAGACCACGGCTTCTCCCGGGCGGCTTCTCCCCGACGATCATCCTTGTTCAGCACCTACCCAAGCGCGGCTCGACGAAGACCCGAGATCCGCAGCACGGAGACCCTGGGAGCCAAGGCAGACTGGAGGGTCACAGTACGCTGCGACGGAGCAGAGTGCCTGAGCAACATCCACGAGGCGAGGCGGAAGCGTCAGGAAGCGAGGGAGAGGAGCGACGCACTGGTCGGCAGGGCGGGAGTGCTCGAGATTACCGCGAGATGACAAGAGATCCCTGACGAGAGACGTCGGGGGGGAGAGCAACAGCAAGAGAGGGGCGAGCAGAGGAAGCGAGGGTGTAGATAGACGAGAGAGGGAGGGAGTGAGATAATAAAGCATTGTTACGAGTTACGAGTGATCGGATTGAGAGGACATGGGGCGAGACAGGCAGGAGAGAAGGCAGGGAAGGCAGGGGGCGGGGAACATTTTTGGGTGTTGATCCTGCAACGCTGTCCATAAACCATCTGCATGGGTGCCTACCTTATTAACTCGTTCTTCTACAGCAAGTGACAGATGGCCCGTTAGAGAACGACTTCCAAACCGCTGGTTCAGTGTGAAGCAGGTCGGAACTGACAATAATCTGTCAAAATGCAAGACGATGAAGAGCGCAAAATACTACTCCTGCGGGGCTCAGGGCCAGTGTGCGGCCAACCTGGTCCATATGGGCGGGGCCCGGGGTGCCACGATCGGACGGTGCCCGGCGTGTGCGGCCGTGCTGAGTGTCAGGGTCATGCCACGGTCAAGCGCAGCCCGGCTGCCTCGGTCATCGGATTCAAATGGCACTGTTCCGAGTAAGCCGGGCCTTGACGGTCACGCCTCCGAGGCGACCGGGTCGGAAACTGGCCCGGCAGTCATCGGACGCGCGGCCCCCGGCGGCGGCCCTTCAAGGCTTTGCCTCGGAATCTGTTGAACTTACTCCCGAGTCCGGAGACGGTGGCGTTCCGGCCATGATGATCACCGCCCGCCGGACTCCGGGAGCATCCGGGCCTGATCCGATCCCGGACTCCTGGATCGGCGCCGGCGGGACCGTGCCGGCCGCGGCGTCGGAAGTTGAGTCGGAAACCGAGTGTCGCTGGTGGGGCGGGCTTGCAGAGCTGGTCTACAGAACTGGCTGAGGACATGGGAGCGATGCTGCTCTCGAGCCTGTCCGGAGACACGCCCTCTCTTCTTCTCTACCTGTTCTTGTTTGCTGCTACTCATATCTGCTTCCTCCTCATCAGCATGAGGGCCCTCGCGCTGGTCGAGGCAAGGCTCAGAGCAAGCGCAGGTCTTGGACCTCAAGAGCCAAGATGGAAGCTCCTTTACTCCCTCTCCCCCGGCTGGACGGCCGATGTCATGGCGATCCTCTGGGACATTGCAAGCTTCCCTTCCCCTCTCGGCATGATCGCCATGGCGAAGTTGTTCATGGGCTGGTGCAGGAAGGCAGTCTGGCACTTCCGGGGCAAGGACGGTGCGAAGGGGGTCGTGGCCCTGACCATGGATGATGCGCCAGGGCGAGGGCAGCCCTTGACGGAGGAAGTCCTCAATGTCTTGGAGCGACACGGGGCAACCTGCTCCTTCTTCATCGTGTCCTCGTTCGTGAACGGTCGAGAAAAGTTTATGAGAGACGCTGTAGAGAAGGGACATGAATTATGCAATCATGGTGGTGAAGACATCGCCTATCATCTTCACGATGAAAGCAGCTTCAGAAAGATTCTGTGCGACTGCGAAAAAGTCTTGGGTGACTTCCAGCCGGCCAGTGTGCGCCCCCAGGAAAGCTCGGAGTGCAGAGTCAAGTGGTTTCGTCCGCCTCACGGCAAAGTCAGCAGAGCGATGGAGGACGTGCTAGACAAGGAGGGGTATCGGGTTGCCATGTGCGACTGTTACGGCATGGACGTCATCTGCAAGCCTACTTACATCTCCAACTACATTCTAAAGCATGCGAGCGAGGTGAGAAAGTTTCTGTCAGAAAATACTTCCTGATACTCTCGCGCAGGGATCGATCGTCCTGCTGCACATGCCCGAAGTTGGATTTAGGGAGTACAACCTGCAAGTGCTGGAGAAGGTCCTGAGGGGGCTGAAGCTGAGGGGCCTCCGCTGCGTCTCGCTCTCGCAGTTGGAGCGCATGTCAAGGGCCTGCGAGTGAGTCCCCGTCCGCCGCTTGCTGCCTCTGAGCCCAGAGTGAGGGACCTGCTGCTGAATGACTACCGGCCCAGTGGACTCACTCCAACAGACGTCACCTGATTTCAGTATGGCCCCGCAACCTAAGCACTCGTCCCCTTGATAGAAGGAGCAAACTTGCCCTGGAAGTTCTCGTGACGCAGACAGAAGCAGAAACATCCTCAACTGACCTGGAGCAACAGCATACTGTGGCTCTTCGAAACGGACTTCTAATATGAGTAGCTCTCCTTCTTCTCCACCTCTCGGCACCCTCAGGTTGTAATATTTACAGGTTTTCTCTGGGAGAGAACCTTCCCTGATCCGCTCTTGGCTCATCACACGCAAACTGCACGGGACAATGTCCCCGAGGTTTCTCAATCGACATTGACAGCGAAATTCTCCACCAGCAGCAAGCTCTTCAGGCAGCTTGCCCGAGATCCAATGAGGAGGTCCGACAAGGCAAGACAAGGAAAGCAGCGCATCATGGTTCGTCCCCGGCACTACCATGATGTCCGACCCTCGTTTCTCACACACGTACAGCTTGGTCGGGGCGCCGCTGATTCGCGCTCCTTTGCCGATGGTGTAGAAATGCGTTCCTTTGTGTGCCCCGTAGACCTGCCCGGTCTCAAGATCCACGAAATTTCCCATCTTGCTCCGAACGTCAGGGTCGTCGTCTGGTATGTAGTTGGATATGAAATCTTCAAAGTTCCGCTTTCCGACGAAGCAAAGTCCCATGCTCTCCCTTTTCCTTGCAGACGGCAAGTGTGCCTCTATGGCAATGTTGCGGACTTCACTCTTAAGAAGATCTCCCAGTGGGAACAGCACACGGTCAAAGCATTTCCCATCCACATTTGACAAGAAGTAAGACTGATCTTTGTTGTAATCTCTTGCTCTCAAAAGTTTTGTCCCGTCACAAGCATGGTCCAGTCTCGCATAGTGGCCGGTTGCTAAATAGTCGGCACCAAGCTTGAACGCGTGCTGTAGGAGCAGCTTAAATTTGATCTGCCTATTGCAAGCTACATCAGGGTTTGGCGTGAGGTCACTGAGATAGCCATCAAGCATGGGCTCAAAGACATCAGTCCAATATTCTTTCACAAAGTTCACTTGTTTCAGCTCCATGTCCAGCTGCTTGCAAGTTGATTTCACATCAAGAAGATCCTGCGCAGAGCTGCAGTGCTTCACCTGCTTGTTCTCTCCTTTCTCCTCCTCCTCCTCCCAGTTTTTCATGTAGATGCCAAAGATTTTATGACCCTGCCGCTTGAGCAGCAGAGCTGCCACAGAAGAGTCCACACCTCCCGACAAGGCAACAGCGATCGTCTTGTGCCGCACGCACGAGGCCGACTGAAGGCGAGACGGCACAGGACATGCCACACATCGCCCGTACACACGGGGCAAGACTCGCACAAGCGCCTTCATGGCACGAGCTCGTCTCGATGCTCCTTGTCGCTCATCTGCTGCTTCCCGACTGTCGCACCTGATGACTCCGAGGCTCCTGAACCTGCCATGGCATGCGCCCCTATGTTTAGAACTACCGGCGAACATCAAGGAAATTGAAATAAAATTAGTAATACAGGATTGGGCCGGCTGCCGGCCGGGCAGTCACACTGAGGCCCGGCAGCCTCCGGAGCCTCGCACTCCGGGCACTGAGTCCGGTCCGACTAGTCACGGGCCCAGCGGCACTGTGGCATTGAGCGGCCCGGGCCGGCCCGGCCTGCCACGGTGGCAGTGGCAGCGTCACTACTACTAGGCCGACTTTCCGAAGTTCGGAGTTGCAAATCGCCGACGGTACTTGAAACAGCTGTCGACTGAGTTTAATTACGGTAGTATCACTAGTGACTCTTATTCTTCGGCGGTTGATAGGGTGAGCTTTGAAGCAGATGATTGGCTCCATCTTGAACTGAATCCATCAGACCGTTCATGGCTTCTCCTAAGAAGTTGGGATCTAGCAAACACATGCGCGTCAGGATGTCATGTCAGCAACTTGTCCCCAGCACCCACAAGTACCTGCGACCATCTTGGAGAAATGCATCAGAGGCCTGTCGATGCCTTCACGCCGGGTGTCAAACCCAGCATTCCTACGGAGATCGAGGAGACTGCCCTGCAGCGTGTGGGACTGCTCCCCCGACTGCTTCTCCGCAGAGGCATCAGCCTGCTTGGAAGCTCTTGCCCTTGACATGGATGACGACAAGAGCTCGAGCTCATTGTTGGCCTCTGACAGCGCGGTCCTCATATCCTGCACATGCTGATTCAGGAGAAGGTTTGACTTCTTGAGGGTGATGTTGGTCTGTTGGATATCTGCCAGCTTCCGAAGCTCCCTCTCCTGCTCCTTGGCTTTCTGGCGGAGAAACCTCGTCTCAAAAGCAAGGTTCTCCAGCTCGACGCTCCGGGAATCATTGGTGTACCATGATTCTACAGCCTGCAGGTGAAAAATTGAGATCTCTTGCTCCAAGGAGCCTAGTATTTCAACCAACTCGTTGCGGACGGAACACATATTGGAGTGTACAGAAAACTTGATGCTGAGATGCTCGGAACACATAATCCTCCAAAGGAATTCAATCTTTGCAAGATATTCCTCTGCAATACCCACGATGGAAGTGAATTTCCCATCAATGTCCTGGAAAACACTGGGGTTGTGATGGCCTGAAAGGTTTTCACCTGCCGGTCTGATCATCTCCAGGCTACTTCTCGTATGTCTTGAGTGCAAGGGCCCGGACTCAGGACCATCCTTTTCTTCAACGTTCGCCAGCTGAAATCCCCACAGAAGAAAACAAACCTTCACCATGTGCCGCTGTTTGCCATCACATCGGCAAAACGTCAAAAAACTCCAAGATGAAAACACACGACGAACAAAACCCAAAAGTGACGAAGACATGTACGAGCATGCAACGCCAAATCTGACAATGGCCGAGCCGTGCCCATGTCGATGATAACGAAAATTCAGGCGCCAAAGAGCCAGATATCTAGACAAACCATAACGATATACCAACTGCTTGTAAACAAAAAGATCCAATTTCTGTAACAGCTCTGAAGACGACAACTTAGATCGCAAGAACGATAACCATGAATTGAAAAAATATATAGATGAACAGCGATCTCTACCCCGCCCCATGCTCGCCGCCATCGCTCGCCTCTCCCTCGCCCCTGCCGTGAGCTCCCTCCAGCCCCATGCCGCCGCCCTCTGCATCCCTGCCTCCCGCCGCGCCACTGCCCCTCGCACTGTCTCCCGCCGTCCCCGCCGTCTCCGAGCCTCCTCTCCCCACCGCCTCAACACCCTCCCTGCCGCCCTCCTCCTCCCCCGCTCCCTCCCTGACCTCGCCATCCCCGTCCTCCTCTGCCGTACGCTCCGGTATAGCTCTAGCCTCCGCAAGCTCCCGCGACACATCCCCCGACCATGCCGGCTCCCGATCACCCCTGCTGCCCACCGCTGGTATCTCATCCTTGCCGCCGCCTCCTGCCAGCCCCCGTACGCCCTCGCCGCCTCCCGACCTCGCCGCCTCTCCTCTGCCTTGAGCATGACCCCCTCCCGTCTTGCCGCCTCCCATGCCGCTACCTCGCCCCACCCTTGCAGTACCCTCCTCGCCGCCCTCCTGTCCCGCCTGTGTCTCGTCTGCTCTCCCCTCGCCTCCCCCCGGCGCTCCCGTACGGCCTCCCCCCACGCCCACACCGCCTCCTCTACCTCCCTCCGCTCCCGCTCCCTCCGCGCTCTCTCGCCCGCTGCCTCCGCCCTCAGCCCGGCCTCCGTCCCAGCTCCCCACATGGCCAGCGCAAGCCTCCCTGCTTGCCGCTCTCTCACCCGCCCCATGCTCGCCGCCATCGCTCGCCTCTCCCTCGCCCCTGCCGTGAGCTCCCTCCAGCCCCATGTCGCCGCCCTCTGCATCCCTGCCTCCCGCCGCGCCACTGCCCCTCGCACTGTCTCCCGCCGTCCCCGCCGTCTCCGAGCCTCCTCTCCCCACCGCCTCAACACCCTCCCTGCCGCCCTCCTCCTCCCCCGCTCCCTCCCTGACCTCGCCATCCCCGTCCTCCTCTGCCGTACGCTCCGGTATAGCTCTAGCCTCCGCAAGCTCCCGCGACACATCCCCCGACCATGCCGGCTCCCGATCACCCCTGCTGCCCACCGCTGGTATCTCATCCTTGCCGCCGCCTCCTGCCAGCCCCCGTACGCCCTCGCCGCCTCCCGACCTCGCCGCCTCTCCTCTGCCTTGAGCATGACCCCCTCCCGTCTTGCCGCCTCCCATGCCGCTACCTCGCCCCACCCTTGCAGTACCCTCCTCGCCGCCCTCCTGTCCCGCCTGTGTCTCGTCTGCTCTCCCCTCGCCTCCCCCCGGCGCTCCCGTACGGCCTCCCCCCACGCCCACACTGCCTCCTCTACCTCCCTCCGCTCCCGCTCCCTCCGCGCTCTCTCGCCCGCTGCCTCCGCCCTCAGCCCGGCCTCCGTCCCAGCTCCCCACATGGCCAGCGCAAGCCTCCCTGCTTGCCGCTCTCTCACCCGCCCCATGCTCGCCGCCATCGCTCGCCTCTCCCTCGCCCCTGCCGTGAGCTCCCTCCAGCCCCATGTCGCCGCCCTCTGCATCCCTGCCTCCCGCCGCGCCACTGCCCCTCGCACTGATTTTCGCGTCCATTGTTGTTTTATGGTTTGAGCTTCCCACAATTTGAGCGTCCTTGTATAGATTCGGATGTTGTATTTTGAACGGTTTGCATTTGAGAATGCTTTAGTTTGTTTGTAGTTTTTCATTTGAGTTTGGAGACTGTTCCAGGCTTTTTGCAATTTGTGTTTTGTTGCTTGGTGTTCAATTGTTCTCGTCTTAATGGTTTTTTGATTTTTCGCTGCACCTCATTTTGCCAACGTTGTAGTGTTGATTGTTTTAAGCTATTTGTCTGTTTATCGATGATAATGCCCGATATTTGTCTGAGTATTTTCCGAGTGAAGCAGGCTGTTATCCACTTTTGAAGTGATGTTTTTATTGTCCGGATTGAATCTCTATGCAAAGCTTTTGCCGCAGATTTCTCCACAGACTTCCTGAAACTTTGATTTGCGCTCTTCAAAGCATGCCAGCTCACAAAATGTTCTTTGGTCTGTTTTTTTCCTTTCTCATGATTCATTCTGCTGATCTGATTTTCAATGTCAAATTTTGTTGTGCACAAATCAAACCAAGTTTGGAAAGCACGAATTGAAAGTTTCAGAGTCATTAGATTGATTCTTGTTTGGAGAAATTTGAGAACTTTCTGAAAGTTATTTTGTGAGATTTTAGCTATTGTAAACCAGGATTCAAACATGTTTTGTAGAAACTTTCGCTTATGTTGCGCAACGAGGCGTTTGCACTGATCTATTGCCAGTATGTTCAAGTGGGAAAGTTCACCCCACAGCTGAAAGGTGGTAGAAACCAGGAACATGCCATGCCTTTCAGATATAGATAAAGAAACAAATCGGTTTCGTTGTCGCCTATGATATGCTCTGCACCATCTGAAAATAAATATTCTCAACATCTCAATTGTTTTCCCAGCAACTTTGCTTCTAAGAACAGATCGTTTCTTTACAAACTTATTCCACAATTCCAATGTGCCCACAACACTTTGAGTAGCCTTTTTCCTTGCAAAATACAAAGCAGTTTGAAAGGTATGTAAAGATTTGAAATAAGTAGCTTTTTCCCAGACAACGAAGAAAAGCAATTTTGTCAGTCGCATGTTCACAAAATCGTTGCAATTTTCAAAAGTTTCATGAGCGTTCTTCATTCGATTCCTGCATTTCAACGCAAACATCACAGTGGCTTTCACATATCTGTTAGCCTGTCTTGAAACAAACTTGTTGAGTTTGATTCTATGATGCACCGACGAATGCAGATACTTGAACGCTTGAAAGGATTCAGAAAATGCCTTCATCTTTGATTTGCATACTGTGTGTAAAACGATATTGTTCCGAAACTTTTTCCGTCCTATAAGGAATTTCCAAGACCTGATGACAACAAATGAATGATTCCTGAGCACACGACTTCTATACCAAGAAATTGACAATCGGAGCTCTGCAAACTGTGACCTTAACGATGCATACAATTGCAGCAAGACTTGCTGGAGTGAGATAAATTCTTCTTGAAATGTCTTTAACACAAACAAATATCCCCCCTCGACCCTGCTTTGCATGCGGTGTGCCTGATCATCCAGATGTGAAATACAAGAGGCCATCAAGTCATTCGCATGCCGGTATTGTTGAGACAATTCATATTGCTCAGCTTGTAGCCATTCTATCTGACTCTGTTGTTCTGTGAGTAAAGATTGGTTGTCGATCATGAAAAGCGACAAGTCAATCATGTTCCTGAACAGCGGTCCACACAGCTCGAGATCTTCGGAGCTCTGCAGTGCCGTAGCACACTTATAGTATGAGGATGTTGATGGAATGATAATTTGTCTCTCAAGACAACCACTCTCAAACCTTTTAAGTAGATCGTCAGGCTTCACTTTGGAGCTTTCCAATAAATTTCTCCCTGTTGACAAGATGCAAGTTTGAGCCCCTACCATCAAGTGTGTGACACCTGCGTGCGCTGTATCGATGGCGGCTTTGAGCAACAGGTTCTCATACTGAAGAGAGCAATTCTTTGCATCCAATGAAGCTATGCGCTTTTGGAGACGAGAGATGCAAGATCGAACATCATTCAATTGGTGGGTATCGCAACTGAGATCGCTTTCCACTTCCTGGCCATCTGTGTTTCTATGTTGTACTGTAGTTGAATAACCGATGACGCTTGAAGTCTTTAGATCATTGGCTATGATGCTTGAAGTCTTTAGATCATTGTTTATGGAAATAGCGGCTTTTTCCTGCAAGCTGGCATGGGAGGCTGTTGTTTGTTGGTCACTGGACCTCCAAGGAAGCTTTTGAGGTTGGGACAAATCAGTTTTCAATGTGCTGGGTCTTTCTTCATCGGTTAGGGTGTTGGCTCCCCACGGGTGAAATGAGCTCGAGAGATCTCTCTCCCAACGCTTCGGAGTGGGCCTTGTTTCTGAGGAGAGATGAAGGCTCGGATCAGGCTCTCGATAAACTGAACTCCTTGCAAACTTTGAGATAGGACTCGGCGAGTGCAAGGGAAGGGTGACGTGACTGTCCAAAACTGTCTCATCCATCCAATCTCTTTGACGTAGTGCTATCATCTGTATAGATCCAGCATTGTCACGATCTGCCATTGCGGGGAAAGCATGCGATTCGGAACTTCGGAGAAGTCGATGTGCTGCCCTGCGGGCCTTGTCTGCGTTCTCGATGACAGATCTAACTTCAAGTGCAGAGTTGACAACATTCAAATCATCGTCATGCTCCCCTTCTCCACTGGAGCAATACCTGGAAAGCACTGCGAGGTGACAAGACTCAGTTGGTCTCCAACACAACAGAATCATCGAGATGTACCTCTGTCCAATGCGGAGTCGCGGGTCAGCTTGGACATGATTGCGCGCCTGTCCCTCACAGAGAAATATCTTCCATCAAGTTTTCATGCATGCATACATGACATCCTACCACCTCAGCGCTCTTGTCTGCTCGCCTATAGCATGACGGCCTGATTGTCCTCGTACTGATTTTTAACTTAACTTTGAGTAAACGCGAGAGGGGCCCTAGCGGTTCCCGCGCGCTCATTAATCTCCGGCTGAATCTCCGGGTCACGGCGGGCCCGATCGGGCCTGAGGCCCGGCGGCGCCCCGGCGGCCCGGGAAGCCTTCTCACTCAGGATGACAGACGGTGAGTCACTCCGAGGCTCGGCGCCGGCCCGACTCGGCGCCGGCCCGACTCGGCGCCGGCCGCCGGGGCCGGGTGCCGTCCCGAGTCCCGTAATACGCCGTTCACGCCTGCGGCCGGGCTACGGCCGAACACGGCACTCGGAGGTATCATGAGTCACTCCGAGGAGGCTCCAAGGCTTTCCAGGTCACCGGGTGTCAAAATCACTTGAACTTGACACGCCCGCGACTCACTACCCTTTCCGAGTTCCGAGTGCCTCTTTGTCGGGCCAGTGTCCGGTCGCGCTTGGTATGCCTAGTAACTTAAAAACTTGAAGCTGTAAGATGTTCTGATCACTGACGAGGGGGTGCAGTAAACTCACGGGCCCAGTTTGCTTTCGAGTTCGCCGCTGTTAGACTGAGTGCACGACCGTGACATACCACGTGACCTCTTGGTGCTGCTGTCTTCGACGCGCTATCTTCATCACTGACTCCGAGGCTTTGCTTCCTACTTGATCGAGGGCTTGAGGCAGTTCTTACTTTATGTTGTATTCTGGACTCATACCGGACGCGCCTTGGCGACGGTAGCCTTGGGATAATGGATGACGATGCAGATTCCTGCAGTGGTGCTGCTGATCTGATGAGTGTGTGCGCTAATAGACAGAGATCCTAAGATCATCTGAGCTCAAGGTCTTACGCAAGGTTGTGTATACAACACTTTAATGATAAATGTCCCCGCATCGTCTACAACCGGCTGGCTCGCGTCGACCGCAGACAACCCGTACTCAGAGAGCAACACTGTGGCAAGACGATTCCGAGGCAATGAAGCCTTTCAGCTCCATCGAAGCCTTCAGGTCCGCCAAACAAACCTCCTAGGCTGAAGCATCGGCGACGCGAGCCTGGACTCCCTCCTCCTGTATTGCATGCTCTGCCAAGTCCTGGTTGTAGATCTCTAACTCCTTTCGAAACACCCTGGCGAGATTCTTGAAGAATTCTGCCTCCACTGCAGGCGCCTGATCTGATATGTACACGTAAGCTCCGTTGGAAGAGTGCATCGCTTCGGACAAGATGCCATAGAGGAGCTCCGGGCTCTCATCGAAGTGAGGCAATCGGAGGTCTTGAGGCAGTCCCATGTACTTCCATGCTGCGATCCGTAGGTCATCATTGGCGAGCAGCAGCCTGTTCAGCTCCGTCATCGACATGCTCTTCGGCTTGAACCTCTTCCGTTGTGATGTGGACAGCTTAGCTAAGGCTTGCTGTGCTAGTAGATCCTGTGAGTCGACCAGCGAAAATACTTCGAAGAAAAGCTTCTCGAGGAGATACCTGTGTTCCCACTCCAGTCATCCCCTCACACCGCCTTAAGACCACAAGGTGCGGCAGCAAGGAACCTCACCTTCGAGTCACGTAGGACAACTGACGTTTGAACTTGTTCATTTGAATGGCATGCGCCATGTCCTTATCTCTGATAACGAGCTGCATCTCAAGCTCCTTGTTGTTGACAGCGTTGTTGATAGCGAGCTGCATCTCAAGCTCCTTGTTGTTGACAGCGTTGTTGATAGCGAGCTGCATCTCGAGCTCCTTGTTGTTGATAACCATCTCTTTCTCCTTCATCACTAGTTGTATCTCGAGCTCCTTGTCCTTGAGAGCGAGCTCTCGCTCATTATCTTTGAGAGCGAGCTCTTTCTCCTTGTGTTCCTCCTGGAGCAACATGGCCAGGAGGGCTATCTTATCAGCCTTCGCCTGCTCACCCAGCAATAGCATTGCGGTGGCAATCAGCGACTCATGGCTTCTGCGAGGACGATCTTCTGCTCTCTCTTCCTCCCCCCTCCCGGCTCTCATCATGCTTCCCACGGTCTCCCCTCTCTCCGCGGCCATCAAGTAAGAATCAAGAGTTTGTGGACCCTATTGGCGGGAAAGTACCCACCGCCCTTGTTATATTATATGCCTGGGCCGGGAAGAGACGGGTGGGGGGTACCCCAGTAAGTAAAAGCACTGGCTAGCACAGCAAAAAGACAGACAGACTGGCGGCCTTAGGTTCGCTACCAGCGACGTTGCTGCCCTTCCCCGTCAACTAGAACACGCCGAGACCCGAGGCAGACCAGCCTAGCAAAGCATGATGGACTCTCACTCTTCAATGCAGGACTGCCAGCCATGATGAGGCAACTGAGCGCTTAAGGCGACGGTCCTTCGCTGCCCGGCATCATCGCGGGGCGCTGCCGAGCTAAGTTGGGGGGGCAGCCGCGTGGGCCGGACACTAGAAGGGTGCAACGGTTGGAGCCTCACTGTCATTGCTCTTCTCGCGCCGTATGGCGGGTGTGCGACAGACGGTCCGGATCAACCTCCATGACTCAGTTGACTTTGAGTAAAGAAGGACACTAATGCAGGTGCCAAGTCTTGATAGCTTGCAGAGAAACTTGTAGTACTGCCGTAGTGTTGTGTGATCCCAACCGCCTTCATTCCAAAAAAGTTTTCAACTAATAAGATTTCCTGTCTTGTACAACGAGCTTTTTATACACAATTTCACAAGTTTTTGCCTCACATCGTCCATCGAGTAGCTTCAATCATCGATTTCTTTCATGGATGCAATGTTGATGAAAGACGTCTTTTTCTGGATTTTCTGTCGGACTGAAGCTTATCACTTCGTATGGTCGTGGGAAACGATGGCTGTCGCTATCTCGCTGACATCTGGTGTGTGATAAAACTTGTCTGCACTCACAGAGTCAATGCATATCGAGCAACAAGCCGAATTACTCTTGAGAGCCTGCAGAGCCTTTTGTTTAGCGTCTTCAACCACTTGATGCAAGCCTGAAAGGGAGACCCCAAGGTGTTGGATTCGAACTACACAAACAGCTTCCACTTAGCGCTTACTGGAGTGATCGAAAGCCCATGAGCCAATCGCAGGTGACTTGACTACTCGAGGCTGCCAATCTCCTGAGGAAACAGACCAACAAGTCCGTAAAAGCTACCTGTTGCATTCCAGCATTGTTCACTAGCTGTTGGATGTTGTTCTCTGGGACCACCGCTTTGGCTGTTATATCCAAATCAAAACCATTCAAACACAATGGTTTCAGACCTGATAGAGCCTGTACAACCGCAACTTTGTGTAAATGATCGAGAACCCTCCCTTGCTACACAATTATGAGAATGCAAGATGGAACAGAATCACAAGCAACCTGCAACGATTGAGTTGTCTTTGGGTGGTCTGCAGCCCAAGACCCGATGGTGACCTTTTCAAGTTTCATGAGGCATGGAAATGTGGGCAACTGATGACAACCTTGCCCACTGGTTTTCTTCCTTCATGTTCCACGACTGCTTCTTGGACTTCGCGGATAGCTTGCGGATGATAGAAGTGATCACTGTTGGACTATCATCATGGCAAACATCAGTGATTGTGTTGGTATTGGATGCGATGATGAACCTCAGGTTTGCTGTTTGACCCTTTTGATGCCGACTTCGTCCCTGATTGGATGAACTGCACAACAAGGTTTTGTCATCCTCGCCAAGACGAAACCCATAATATCTTTACCTGGCTGGGGTTCGCAACATTCACTTGAGGTAGCATCTAGCGTAAGATATTACACATCAAATTGACAGACCAAAATTTCAGTTGATTCACCTGCATTGCCGATCCAGAAGAAAAGGTGCTTTGTTGCTGAAGTTTCGATCGGGTCATTCTAAAGGCTACCAAGGTGCTTTGTGTACCACTTTCAACATATTGCTGGCTACAGATTTTGTCCTGGTTGTGCTGGAATCAAACATAAATGTTCCTCCTCTCCACCAAGCGCCTCGAATACCTCGATTTCCCAATATCTTTGTTGGCTTCACCGCTGTAAAAGCTAGTTTCATCTTTACGCTCCTCCACAGCAGAAAGAAGATTGTGTGTGATCTGAGCCCAACGTTTGAGTATCTGTGAGACGGAGCCAAGAAACTCAACAGCACAACCTGAAGTTTGGATCCAGCAGATGACGAATGATCTGCCGCCCAAGACCCTATCTGGGTCGACGAGTCACAGTGGGAACTCTACGACGCAGGCAGGAATACCACAGTAAGCAGGGTTGATTTTGAGTCATTTTGGGCTACGAGAACCTGCCATACGAGTGAGTTGAATAAATAAAGTCTCGCTCAATTCAACCATGGCGACCAGACCAACTCCAACAAGCAGCAACGAGGTCAGGGCTGCACGCTGAAACCATTGAGGCGTCACCCCAAAAGTATACACCAGGGCTCATACAATCACCCTCATAATCCCATGATCTTGCGAAGAGCCCACCATGGATTCTGGTGACTGAAAACGCAAATCGTCACACTCTGGTAGATATTTGCACGTTGCTATCTAAAAAGCTCAGCCATCACGAAGAAACAAACATTCATAAGCGCAATCTCTGAATGTCAACTTGGATGACGTCTTCTTGCAGTATTGTATCGTCCTCACTGGTGAGTGGGATCATTCCACTCTCTTTCCCGCCTCACACGTCATTCCTTCTCGCTACGCAATGATGTCGTGAATTCCCCGATATAGAAAACTGAATCAAGCGAACTAACTAAACCCCCGGTGATCGGGGCCGGGGAGGTCCAAGGCCCGGGCAGCACCACTGAAAATTTACCTTTCCACCCACAAATTTACTCACTACGAATTTTAAATCCGCCTCAGAACATCTTATTATGAATGATTTGGGACAGCTGATATTCCAGAATAATTCCTTTCAATGAACCCACAAGACGCAGACACAAACTGGAAAACAACACGGCGGAAGCCAACAGGGCGGGGATCCGAAAAAACTCATCAACATGTTGCTAGCATAGGGTTGGGGGTACTCGACACTGAGTCTTTCCCCCACAAATAGACGATGAAGCACCGGTACTCTCCTAGCATGGTGAGAAAGCTGCCGTTAAGGGTGGGGTAGGGGAAGACAGGGAGCTGGGTATATAACTGAGGGAATGGCGGAGATCTTTTTCATCAACAAGAGCCATGGGGTTCGGAGGAATGCCACCCAAGAAGGAGAAGAAGCCCAAGAAGGAGAAGAAGCCCAAGGCTGAGGGCGATAAGAAGAAGAAGAAGAAGAGGAGGAGCGAGAGCTACTCCATCTACATCTACAAGGTGTTGAAGCAGGTTCACCCTGACACCGGTATCTCCACCAAGGCCATGTCGATCATGAACTCGTTCATCTCGGACATCTTCGACAAGATCTCCAACGAGGCCGGCAAGCTTGTGAGGTACAACAAGAAGGGAACCTTGTCTGCTCGTGAGATCCAGACTGCTGTGCGTCTTATCCTTCCTGGTGAGCTCGCCAAGCACGCTGTGTCCGAGGGAACCAAGGCCGTGACCAAGTACACTTCCTCTTCGTAAACGAGTCCTTTCTGATTTAAGGACCCAACTGGTGTCTTTGAACACCAAACTGAGGCTGCTGGTGCATTCATGGGCAGTTCGATTCTGCCAAGCTCTCTTTCCTCACGATTCCCTTTTGATATTTGATTAATTTGTCTCCTAACAGAACAGCTCATGAGCGCGCTGTGTTACTTAATGTGCATGAGTGCAGCTGTGCCGATGGTTTCTGAGTAACATCATGTTATTGTCCAATTGTAGGGTTCCGAAACATGAAATGCAACGTGGGACACGTTTTCCCATACGGACTCTGAGCAAATGGATTGCTGTTCTTGTCTGCAGTTGTTGCCTTACCACCGGACCCCAGACTGACCCTGATGTTCATAACATGAAAGAGACATCGTGTAATTTCTTGTGTTGAGAAAATGGATTGACCACCATACATTCCAGTTGCGTTTTCATGTTTTCATATGATGGGTGATGGTTGCTCGCTGTAACCTATTAGACAGTAAAATTCCAAGAGATTCACTTGGATCGGTGATTAGCGGCAGTGTCTTCGAAGCGGTCTTCGAAGCGCCTAACAGAGAGTCATCGGCCCATGGCGCCACTCTCAGTGGTCAGGAGCCTATTCAGAGAACTACTACAATACCGCCGCTTACCGGTCACTATGGTTTCCCACTATGCTGAGGCAATATACATATTCGACAACACTCAAACTCAAGAATCCGGGAACTTGCTGACTCGTCAAACATGACCCGACTGGTGGCTTGACAGGCCGTAGCCGTGGCCCCCCGGTTGCCAAGCAAGTTGGCCAGCCTGCAGTACGAAATCACATAAACGGTTGGCTCAGAGGCAAAATCCCAAACTTTCAAGCCATAAGTTCAATGTATGTGCACATGATAGAACTTCGAGCCCAGGAGGGGATGATGAAAATCTAGGCTAATTAGTAAGAGTTCAGTCACCGGGGGGATACCGACGGTGACGCCCTAGCGCCTCATCCAAATTGTTTGTGAATAATGGTGCGGCAGCACTGTGTCTTTTTCACTGTTTCAGTACGATCCGAAGCCTAGACGGTGAGTGCCTCATACTTCGGAAGTTTATTCGGAACGCCTCCGGACGCGATGGTGTGACAGTGGTAGGTGTGACGACCGGACCGTGCCGCCGGGGCTATCGGTCACCGGGTGCGGCATCATGCCACTGCCACGGTGACTGCCTCAGTGCCACGCCGGGCAGTGCGCAAACTGAACTTGAGCCTTAGGAACTCCGAACAATCAAATTGAATCCCATTCGCCAGCCTGCCATTCAAGTTTGGATCGCACTGCCGTGAAGCCTCTGAGACCCGGCGTGACTGCCATCCGAGGCTGAGCCGCGCCCCGGCCGGGCGGGCCGGCCATCCGGCGAGGCTGCCTGAGCGGCACATCACTGAGTCATCCGGCGAGCAGCGGGCACTGCACTACGGTCACGCCTGGCTCCGTCAGACCGGACTGCCGGCCCCCGCCATGAGAGTCCGGCGAGCGGCGCCAGGCGGCGGCGTCGTACCCGGTGACCGAATCGTCGGACCCGGAAGCCCCGGCCGCCGGCCCGGCGCATCGGAGGAACCCGTGACCCGGGAAGCACTGCGCAGTTCGGAGGGCTCGGATTCGCCCCCGGCCTGGAACTTCGGAAGCCTCAGTCGGCCGGGCCCCTGCCAGGCGGCGGGCCGGGCCCTGCCCGGCGGCCGTGACTGCGGCGCCGGGTTTGAAAGGGAAAGTGATGGAGGGAAAAAACAATTATAATTTTAATAGAAGTCGGGACATGCCCTGGCTTTAACTTTTTAGTAAACTAAGTAAATTATAATATTGTAGCTGAATACCAATCCTTTTTTTTTTTTTTTTTGTTTTTATTGCCGGATTGTTTACTACCCTTTCAGCTCTCTACCCCCCACTGACCTCCTATTGTATCGTAAATCCTGGAGACCCGCAGTGTATCCGCACGAGTAATGAGCCTGCAACTATTTACTTATAGTCATACATATATATTTTCTCTCCTATGCTCTCCTGTATTCCTTGGCCTCCCAAAATGCACTACCCCCACTGTGCACCGCAAGCAAACCTCTTGCATTTATATATATAACTTAACCCTTTCCAGTATCGCTGGTGGACGAAGATAAACCTTGACAGGGGAGGTGGGGTGGTAGAGGTAGTAAAGGACCTTCGTTGCGTAGTAAAGGGGCTGATGTCGTAGAAAACAACCTATGGAGGGGTCAGGGGTAAGGGTCCGCATTTCCATATGTCATCCCCAGTAATTTTTGATAAGGTCTCCCACTACTTCTAGCGCAGAGCCGCGGAAAGTTGGAAGGAGGCAGGGGTACAGGAGTCTCAACCGTATCTACCCCCGGGGGGTAGTGGCGCCGGAAAAACCTTTCGTTTATAACTTTTTTAAATGAGAAGGTGGTAGTGTTCCTTTGGGGGAAAGGGGGTGGTGCTCCTGAAACGAGGAATGTCGAAACTCCTAGGGGTGGGTGGGTGGGTGGGTGGGTGGTCCGATAACATGAGCGGTGTCATGAGCAGGAGAGTAGACAATGACTGCTCATCGGTTCTCATGCCGGCAAGCAAGCAGAGGCTGTGAATGCGAGCATCAGAAATTTATTTGGGAAACGAGTGTAGATAGGATTTAACGGGGGTTACGCATGGGAGATTGGGTGTTCAAGGATTTTGCAGGAGCGATAGAATATTAATCAGCAAAGTTTCTTTGCAGTCAATCCTAGACAGTAAGCTTCCGCCAACCAGGTCCAATTAGACACGAAGGAGCAGCTGGTTCTTGATGTTCTTTGGATGCACTGAGTTCGATTACTCGATTTCGTCACAATTTTCTTTTTTCTCCAGCTGAACATAAGTTTAGGTTTCACAATCTGTGCGGGAAAGCATTACGTCTGGGTCAATCTTGAAGCCACCGCTGAAGAAGAATTGAATTTCTGCCCTTCACACAGATATTCTTGGTTTCTCTCCAATGAGTCTTGCTCTGGCAAGCTTTCCCAGTTTAGCTGACGCATTCGACTTTGGGGAGAATTTGGACATCAGCATTGACGATCCGCATTTCATTCAATCTTCTAACGATGCTTCAACCGACATTCGGTCTTCATCAAGACCGCGCCGGTTGGTACATCACGAATGTATGCAAGTATGGTGATCGTATATGCCAGGATGAAAGCCTGCCTTCAGTGTCGATCTAGCAAAGTTAAATGCGATCTCCTGAAGCCTTGCACGGTGAGCTCATGGCATTCTTTTGCAGTCTCTGACTACAACGATTATTTACTATATTTGATGATCAGGCTTGTTTCAAGCGAGGCTGTCCAGAGCTCTGTAAAGAAGATGAGAACCAGGTTATTGCATATTGGTTCAGAAGATCGAAAGGCTGAATGACTTCTAGGGCTCGTGTCTTTACTGCAAACAAAAGAAGCTCAAATGCAACAAGCAGCGTCCATGTACGAAATCCAATATTACCTTGACTTCATTTGCATCTAAACGTGTCCAGGCGATCAATGTTTGAAGAGATCGAGGGGGGATGATTGCTGTACAGCAGAGATTCGAACTCCCGCGGTCGCCGAGGCAAAAGGACCTGACACTCCTTCATCCGAGCACTCAGTCGATGAAAATACTTTTGCCATGATGCCTTCGAACCAAGCAGATATATCTCCTATCTTTAACGCAGTTGATCGACCGCTACATTCCCCGCTCAAAATTGTATTCCCCGATACGAGCCAGGTATTCCTCGTCATTCAAAATTTGTTGTGTGATAACCAATTTTGTTTTCAAGTTTCGCATGCGTGAATCCCTCAAACTCCAACATGTAGTGTTCCGACGAGTCTGGGAAACTGGGTATAATATCTCAAGGTTTGTTTTTAAGCATTGCCTGTTCTACGACCTGAGCTGATTGAGAATGATAATGCAGTCTAACCCGGTTATTCAACAAACTACCCTACTGTATAAGGCAAGCTCTAGATGATGGACTTTTCACCTTAGAACGACTTCGACAATTGTATGAACTAGCAGCTTGGCTGGACACCAAATTGACATTATACTCGTTCGATAGGAGGAATATTGAAGGTGGATGCGCCGAGGCAGTTCCAGTGGACATGGACAGTGAACCGTCAATCATTCAGATGACTGACGATGAAGTTCCTGGTTGTTTGCTCTATTATGAACTCAACGCTGGTGTTTTGACACTTCACAGACTTTATCAGCCGTCAAGACGGCACCTATATTGGATATTATGCATATGAATGGGAGCCCAGCACACAGCGAAGAAAATCTGTACAGGTTTTACATCTTTCTGTCTGTTTTGACCTCAACATTTTTCTTGTCTTGTTCCTGGTCCGTTTTCTACCTCAAACTCAACTTTACCGGCTTTCTTTCTTCGAGTCTATTTTCCACTCCGTCTCTGGCGTTGTGAGATTGCGATCGACTGGTCCCTGTTTTAGAAGTCTCTCTCCTTCTGATTCCAACCTACCCCATCATAATGTTGGATGAGTTGTGTATTTGATAGCTCGCAGACAAAGATGTTTCCCAGTCGATTGGACTCTGACATGAAACGTTCAATTTGAAGGTCAGCCAAGGGCTTGCAGGATTTCTTAGTATGCATCCTGAGGAGGTCATGGCGCGCGTTGGTCACAGTGACCATTACGTGAGCTGAGATTTCATTGCGCCATGGCGGGACTGATTCGTTTCGCAGCTGCCCAACTCGGAGATCGAGTTCATGGGGGCAATCCTCAGTGCGTTCACTCGCGATATCTTGCTGTCTGCTGACTCGAGGCGCAGTCGAATTGTTCCGTACTGATGGGGTAGCAAAGCATCGTTATCATCGGTTGGTTCGCTGCTGTCCGAAGGTGATTCGACCTGCTCTCAGCTGTGTGGCTCGCATGACTTGCGCCGCAGACTGGAAAGTTCGTTGAGCCTCTTATTGTTCGAATGACGACCAGCCGTGAGCTAGATAGTTTTGGAAGGTGAGCTAGAGTGGTTCTATTTCGTTGCTATGTCTGCGCTGATGGAAAGACTTTTAGGCTCGTTAAGACTTCCCACTTTATGGAGAACGTTGATGTCTCAGAGTACAACAAGGCGCTCAGGTGTGTCACGTAAGGAAGGGCCTTGCGATGGGTCACTCTTGTTGGGCAGGGAAAAACCGGAGATCTGCCGTCCTTTCCTGTCTGAGATAGGAGACATGAGAACGGGAGAGGAGCTTCTGTCGGATTCGAACAGAGACTGTCTGTTTAACGAATGCTTTGAGTCCTGGACGAAGAGCGAACAAGTCGTCTCTCCTCGTTGCCTCTTCGCTTTTGATCTTCTCACCCAGGGAGTGAACAACCTCTTCAAGTTCTCGGAACTCCTGCGGAGGAAGATTGCTCCGCTCAAGGCTGCTCTGCAGAGGTGAAGTTCAAACCCATCTCGTACAACTGCTGACATCAGCTCTGCAGGATGGAGAGCTCGATATGCAGCACGAAGAGGTTTGAACGTCATCGACCCCTTGTATTGCGTCCTCACTGTGTTGACTCTAGTGAGGAGCCATGGCATGCCTCGCCCCTGGTCGACTCGCCGACTCTGGCGGACGACACGCACTTTTGTGACGATCCTTTCTCAAGTCATTTCTAACGTCATCTGTTGATTGTGCAAGTTGAACAACAAGTGTGGGTGTGTATGTTACGTGGAACTTTACAAATGACGAAGCTCTTCACTGCATGATCTCATCTTGCAGCCCTTGTCGTCCCCCCGCTCTCCCGAGCTGCCCTACTGGTCACTTGACGAACACACAACAGCGCCAGCTACCTCTCGCGCCATGGTCATATATCGCTTCCTGCTGGAACCTGCCGGGTGTTACAGGGCCCTTAACGTCCCCCGAGGTCAAGAAACCTGCGGCAACGAAGACAGCTTGTTGCAGAATGTCCTGCTCCCACCAGTCAAAGATTACTCCCCCCCTCTCCTCGTACTGATGAGTTACACCGACTTACCTTCTGGATGGCACGGCAGTAGCGAGCAAGGGGGAGGACCTGGCCGGGAGGTGAGGGGGGGGCGAGAGATGGCAGCGAGGAAGAGGAGGGAGAGGAGGAGGAGCCAGGGCAGTGTGTGCGCGTCTACCTCGAGCTGCCTTACGCCCGATGAGCTGCTGTTGATCCCGAAGATCATCCCTGCATCAGTCAGTTCGGGTTGCTGATCCTCCTCCTCCTCTGCTGCTGCTGTTGCTCTTTCTCCCCTTCTCCCCTCCCCCCCTTTTCTCCCCTCCCTGCTCCTGCTCCTGCTCCTGCTCATCCTGCTCATCCTGCTCTTCCTCCTCTTACCGACAACCATATAGAAGCCCTTGATTCCATCGACGAGAATGCTTCCTAGGGCATTGGCGAAACTGCCAGAGATCTGCAAGCGATGGGGGTGACGGAGAGAAGAAACGAGGGAGAGGAAGCGGGAGAGGAAACGGGAAGCGGAGGAAGTGGAGGAGCGGGAAGGGGAGAGATGGGTGAAGGAGGACGAGAAGCATCACATCTAGCTCGTCCTTGTCGTCCCCGTCTCCATTAGCGGAGAGCCGTCTGCAGAGGAAGCAAGAAGTTAGTGGAGAAGAAATGAGGAAAGGGCATTTGTGCAACTGTGCACTCAATAGAACAGCAAGTGAAGTTCAAATGAATGGAGATGAGGAGAGCAGGTGGGGACAGGAGGAGACAGAATGAATCTCACCTTCTCTCCGCATAGTAAGTGAGCAGAGCCTTGAACTCTTCAAACTCAACTAACTGTTGCATCGTCAGCAGAGGCCCCATCCTCCTCCTCACAGCCTAGCCTGCCTTCTTTCCTTGTCTCTTCGTCCCCGTTCCTCCTCCTCCATCATCACCGCCACCACCACCACCACCTCTGCCGCCGCCACCGCCACCGCTTCCTCCTCCTCCCTCCTGTTGCTGCCCTCTTGGTTGTCTCTGTGTGCTTGAATTGTCTCTCCTTTACCTCATTCCCGTTGGTGTCGAACTTGGAGACGACGTCGTTGACCTCGCTCGCCGGCATCGCAACCCCAAGTTTCTCGAGGAGAGTGAGAGGATGTGAGAAATCACAAGGAAGGGGGGGGGAGCGATCGGAGGTTGAGGAGGAGAAGCAACGGAGTGAGTGGAAACGACAATGGTGAGGAAAGGAAAGTGAGATGACGTTGATGCCAATGTGAGAGTGATGGAGGTAATGTGACGATAATCAGAAGGAGAAGGAGAAGGAGTAAGAGTAGCCAAAAGAATAAGGGTAGGAAAACAACCTGCATAGCAAGAAAGAATTCTAAACATGCCGTTAGTAACCAGATGAGCAATATGGTGGTGCTCCTACCGGTCTTGTCAATGCTGCCAGACTTGTCGAGATCGAAGAAATCAAACACCGCTCTGTTCGAGGCATCAGGGTTAGAATGCTGAACACGCTCAGGTTCAACTTGCTCTTCTCCCTCGTCTTCTTCCATCCCCTCCTCTGCAAGCACACAAACACCCACCCACACACCCTCCTCCTCCTCCTCCTCCTCCTCCTCCTCCTCCTCCTCCTCCTCCTCCTCCTCGTCTTCCTCCTTCCGCACCTCCCCTCTCTCATCATCCCATTCCTCTCCCCTCATCCTCCCATCCCAACGCTTCCCTCCTTACCTTCTCTCCTTCACGTCTCACTTCATTTCAACGTGCAGCTAGCCATCTTGAGCAAAGAGAGCGGGCTGACGATGATGGTACACCCCTCCTTTCTCCCTCCAACTCTCCCTGACCCCCCCGCCTCCAGGCGTTCTTCTTCCTATTTGAAGCTACAGTACCTGCCCATTTAGTCTCGAGGTGCCGAGCGTTCTTGCGCTTCTCCTCGGTTGCGATCACTGCCGCTTTCTACATGTGAGATGAATAACTCCCATTTCTCCTCTTCCACCTCCTCCACAGCCACCTCCTACTCCTACTCCACCACCACTTGCTCCTGCTTCTCTCTTTCCCGCTTCTTCCTTGCCCTCCCTCGATCTTCTCCCTTTCTCCCTCTTTCATGCGATCTCCAACATTTTTCTCTGTCTTCCTCCTCATCCACAGCCGCCGCCTCAAATTCTTCATCTCCGCACCTGCACCTGCTAGGACGGCAGTGATGGCAACGTAGGTACATCAAGAAAGCATTGACGAAAGATTCCTTCTTTCCCAACATTGCAGTCATCGACAAGTATTGTTCGTTGTTCTGATTTCTGTTGTTGAGCTTCTTCTCTTGCAGCTCTGTCCATCACGCGCCTTCGTCGCTATCGAAAGTTCTTTCCCTCTGTCATATATACACGGTGAATCGATTGTGCTCTCCCTCCTCCCTCCTCCCCTCCCTCCTCCCTCCTCCCTCCTCCCTCCTCCTCCCTCCTCCCTCCTCCCTCCTCCC